GTGGACCTCTCTCAGATTTGTTCATTTTGTAATGATATCTTTAATTCTCTAATTTTGGTGAATATTTTTGTAATTTTTGGTAAAAAGTGATATTTTCGACTTCTTGTTGAAAACCGCAAGTCCAATTGCTTTGATATTACATATATAGGTACTACATGTGGACCTCTCTCAGATTTGTTCATTTTCTAATGATATCTTCTGTTCTTTAATTGCCATGTGCATTGCTAACAGCGGAGCTATCTCAGCCGACAGGCTGCTTGTTTTAAATTCCTGTTAAACTTACGGTATTTGATTTTGATCAACTCAAATATAGATATGTTTTTATTTGCAACAGTACAATCTCCTTATTTTCCTGACAAGTATCATGTCAAAGGCACAAGTTGACAATCAAAAAAAAAAAAAAATAATCCAACCTCCACATAAAGACCATTTTAATGAAGTTTTTTGTCAATCCATTTTTATCTCAAGAAAAATGTCTTAGAATATGCTCATGTTGATTGTCATGTCAAGAATGACATACCGAAAAGACTAGTTATGAATAATTATAGTAAATCTTTCAAATGTACATTGATTACAATTTTGGGCACTTAGCCCCGATTAAGTGTTAAAGCCAAGGGTCTGGACTGGTCTTAAAAACTGGTTTGATTTAGCTCACACTTAACATTTCTTAGCCCATCCAATCATTGCACACTTTTTCTTAGCACGGGCTAATGTTTCTGCTCCTTTGTTCACGCTGAGGAGATGTACGCAAACCATAGACCCTAAAAAGAGGGATAAATAACACAGACGAAAGACGATAGAGTAATAGTTTATTTGTCTAAGATGTTACTTTGTATACGTAATGAGCATCCAACAGTCTTCTGGATGACGTTTTTAATTATGCAAAGTAATGTTGTACAATGAAAATCGACAAGTTGCTTATGCCTCTTTTTAGGGTCTATGTGCAAACGCAACAAACATGGAGCAAAACAACTTTTTGAATTTACAGATCAATTCAATAGGGATTGTTATTGGAAGACAAATCCATCTGTACACAATGGAGATTATCTGATAAATGGTCAGATAGATTATAAGATTAGTCTGGAGGTAAATACACAGGAACAATGACACAAAGGAGTAGTAGTAGGATATACCACAATACCAATAGTGTTGAATAAACATCCACATAGTGGCTGTAAATTGCATGGGAAAATAAAAATAGTTTTGAAGTTTGAATTCTTCTAAATTTATTCAATACAAGATGGTATACATGCATTGTCAATTAACATTTAATCAATTTTAAATAGATATAATTCTTATAATCTAGTTTCTATGAATGCCTTCCGTCAACAAATGTTTGCAAAGTTTTATCCTTTTACCTTCCATGGTTT